AGTTAGCACAGAAGAGAAATGACTGGCGTGCTGTTTTGGACTCGGCCAAAATCGCTTAGGCGGTTACAGCGCCAAATAAGAAGAAGAAGAAGTTGCATTTTTTGATAGGGGGGCGAAATAGGATATTTTCACATTTGTTGGTGTTTAATTTGAGATGCCAGTCCGTTGTATATTCTTCTACAGTATTGTATTTAAGTTGGAGATGTGTGTTTATGTTGGCAATTGTACTGTCTGAGTGATAAATAACAACATCATCTGCGAAGGCTATTATATTGTCAATTTTATGCAGTAGGTCTAGTATGAATATGTTAAAAAGGGTGGGGGCATTTACAGTTCCTTGCTGTAATCCATTTTTTATATAGTAATCTCGACTGCTTTTTATATTATTTATCCATACCGAGAATGTTCTATTACAGAGCATATTGTAAATTAATATAATCAGATGGAGAGGAAATTTGTATCCGATAAGTTTTGTTATAAGTCCTTTTATCCAAACTTGGTCAAACGCTTTTTCGATATCAAGGAAGCAAGCTCCTGAGACATTTTTTTTATTCCAGTTCCAGTTTATTTCCGAGACTAGAAGGTTGATAGCATGAATAGTCGAATGTCCATATTTAAAGCCAAATTGTTTTGGGCTGACCAGGTTGTTATTTTCGAGTATTCTATTGATGTTTATATTTATTACCACTTCGAAGACTTTGCTAATATTTGGAAGCAAGCTGATTGGCCTAAGATTTTTAATATTATTTTTTTCTTTGTCTTTTTTTGGTATAACAATCATTTTAGCCTTTTTCCAACAAGGTGGGAAATATGCATTGTTGAACATGTTGTTAAATAGAGTACAATATTCTAAAATTATCCCTGAGGGAAGATTTTTTAGAATGATATTTGGTATTTGATCCAAGCCTGATGACAATTTACCTTTAAAATTTGCGAATACCCCTACGAGGTCGTTAGGAAGAATGAAGAAGCTTTCAGTCTGTTCTTCGTTAAGATCATTTGCTCTTTTTTCATTGCTAAATGTTGTTTTCTGCGATTCGATGCTATCAAATAAAGTTTTTGTTCTTAAAAACTCATTGAAGCATGCATCAACTTGTGAGTGAACTAGATTAGTACGCACATTCTGTTTTGAAGAGTGGACTGCTTCGAAGTGGACGCCAATCACATCTACTATGTCTTTGTTGTTTTTAATAATGTAGCTGTTGGTTGCCAAATTCTTTTCAATTAAAGAGCTATCTAGTCCCGCTTCTTGCATCAATTCGGATGAAGCAAAGGGGATAGAAAGGTGACTGATGGTCTCATCTTGATTTTTGAGAAACGAGTTTTTAACAGTGGATATTTTTGATGGATCGCTAGTACTAATGTGAGAGAGTTTATGTTCTAATTGATTGTTTATATGTATTTTGATATTTTCCTGGATTAGTTTCTTGATTAGTTTTACTTTTGTCTTTTCTTGTTGTATGTTGCTGAAAGAGCACTGTAGTTGTAGCCGGTTATATTTTTTTATATTGGTAAGAGTTATACTTTTTTCTAGAAGTAATGTTTTTAACACTGGTATTTTGGTTAGGTTATGAGTAATGCTGTTAGTTTTTGTTTTCTGGACTCTCTTTTCTATGGCAGTTAGTATAATATTGTTTAGCTTATCCAAGTGGTGGTCGATCTCAATATTATTTAGGTTTCTATTCTCTGGTGTTCGGATAACGTTCTGGAGTTCTGAAGTCAAGGTATTTTTGAATTTTTTCCAATTGGTTTTTTTGTAGTCCAATGTTTCTTCTTCTGTGTTGGCCAGTAGTGTAAAAAAGTTATCGTCTCTGCGAGCTATAATTTCTATGGCGTTGTGATCGCTGTCATAGTGAAGGCATTTTAAACAGTTGACGGTGTCGTTGGATTTTAGTATATTTAATCTGTGGTCAGCAATGCAGACATCCAAAAAAGAGCTTGCTCTCATGTATGAAGGTGATACAGAAGCATACATATTGCATCTAAATTTTAACTCATTTGTGGTAAGCCAATCTTTTAACGCTCTGCCCTTAGGATTATCTTGGGCATTTCCCCAGTC